GAGCATGTGCAGCTGAGAGACAGCATTTCAACAACGTGAAATGAAAGGGCATAATGGCACCACTGCCAACGCCAAATAATTTACATCCCTTTACATCAGTCAGTGGTTTTAAGGTTTGGCACCAAGAGTTAATAACAAAAAGGGCTAGAGGTCACATGACTATGACCTTCAGACTAGCTTCTATCCTCTCTTGCCCTACAGTAGGAAGCAGATTGAAAATCACTTCACTAAAATGTCTTTTAATATTAATAATTCTGGACCCTAGAGAAACCTAATCATTAGGATCCAGTGAACTCTTTGGCTATTTCTGCCTTCCTAAAGGGGCATCTCTTATGTTACTGCTCAAGGACTTGTTGAGTATTAAAAAAATAAAATTCTCTTCTGAATTTTACTCAGAATTCTTTCTTTTTAACCAAAAAGAATCTTAGCCTTTATTATTCAGGGCTCAAAAGGCCATTATTTTATGCAGCCAAATGAGTAATGTTTTCTATTTGGGCTACTTTGTAACCCGGTTTTAAAATTTGTGAAGTGTTATTTGTAATTAAATGCCATTTCTTTCAAAGTTCCAGACATGCCTTATCTTCCATATTTGTTAGACTGATAAAATGAAGAACTGTCTAATACAAAATTTCCATTAAAATATTTATCCTGAAACAGGACCTTTCTGTGTGCTCAAAAAAAAAAAAAATAGCACATGGGGAGTCTTTTAAAAATGTCTTTGTCTCTCCCAGATTGTCCCAGCAAACTGATGGGGGCAGGTGCCGTCCCCTCCCTGCCAATTGGTTCTGGTCTCCATCACCACAAACCCAAGACCATTAGAGAAAGCTCAAACTGTCCTTTAGTAACAGGTAGTCAATCACTTATTTTATACCACGTCAGGGAGGGCTGTCGGGAGACTGCCTTGGAAGTTATGCCAGTGGCATGGAAGCCACTCTGGGACTGGAAGGCAGTTACATACTTTTAAGACTTAAGGCGTAAAATATGGGGAATTCATCAAACTCATCTCGAGTAAAGGCTCTGCTGTTTCAAAAAACTAAGTGATGGAACTGGAATTCCAAAGTCCACATTGAAAGCAGTGTGAGGACTATATTGCATTGTCTATAATTCAAGAAAGGTGAAAAAAAGATCTGTCATATCTAAAGATTAGTTTCAGGATGACAAAATGGTGCTATCTGTTTTGAAAGGCAATTAAGAAGACATTGTTCCCTAGGACAGAAACCTGCAGTTTACTTACGTCAAATTACACATTAACCTAGCTGAGCAATCCCATTAATAGCAACTGTTCTCCAAAGAGGAGCACGTTGTAACACTCTGAATTACCGGGTTCTATGGACCTAATTTCCCACTCTTGTTGCTGCCTTGAGTAAGCACTACATCTCTTGCAGATAGCACACGTATACCTTGATCTTTTAAAAAACTTTTTTGTGTTTATGTTTATCTTTCCACTTATTACCCTAATTCCTTAACTATCAAGTTCAAGAAACCAGTCACCAACTTAATCAATACATCCTTAGGTTAATCAATTAACACAGAAAGCCTTGGAAGACCTTCCTAACGAGGGTATGTCCTGCTATCTTCTGCTATACAGATTTTTTAAGGTCCAAGGTAAAATTATCTGGAAAAACATCATCACGTTCACTTGTTTGAGGGAAGTAGAAGAAATCTTGAAAAATTAACTTTTAAAAGATGCAAGTTCTATATTAATGAAAATTTAGCCACATTAGTAGATCCTTAGGCCTTTGTAGAAGACTACTAAGTCAAAAACTTAAATGGCATGCAACATTTCTACAATGTCTGGATGATATTCCCTTTTTGCTTTTAACTGTTGCATTTTAAGTAAATTCTAAGTTATTTTCAATATCTTAAGCTTTGCTACTATTTATTGAAAGAATCTTTGCATGTTTTGGATAGAATTATGAAAGGCTTTCCCTATTTAATATGACATTACATTTTGCTCAGAAAGATACACTTCCAATCTTAAAAATGAAAATCAATGAAAAAAATGCAGCTCATCCTAACTGTGCTCAGTAAATTTTGCCTCAACATGTCCTAGTTCGTTTAGTGCGGGTGATAATAATGCTTTATATGCATATTAGCTTTTGTAATGTAGCAAAGGTGTTCTTTGTTCTTAGTCCGGTGCTACCTTCTTAGAAAAGTGGTCCTATACATTCCTTGACATGGCCGAGGATTGCAAAATTATCAACTATACATGTGACTTACGCATTCCAGGTCGCCCAAACAATCTTTTCACACGACATCCAAAAACTGCTGCGAGAATAGACTCAAATTTACTATGCAGCTCCACCTTTCATTTTATGTCTAAGGATCCGGAAGACACCAAAAATGAGAGAGGGGGCAGCCAACCCGACTCACTCAATATAAAAAGGTTACCACATCTTAAATAGCTAAATGTTCATATGCACAGAATGGAGCATAGAACCTGAATTACATTGACCCTGGAGATGCTACCATATTTGAAGCCAAAAAAGGGAGAGAGAGAGAGAGGAGGAGAGAGAAAGGAGACAAAGCCTACTCGCATATATACATATACACTCCTATACGTTTGTGTGTGTGTTCTGTCATTTTCATTTTCATCCTGAGCCTTCGACTTGAATTCTTCCTTTTCTTTTTCAGCTATGGTACAGACAATACTTTAATGGAAAACTGTTTCTGGTCAGAAAGCCATGCAACTTCTTTTGTTAGGCAACCTTGGCTGTGTTACGGTGTCGTCTCCCCATCCTCAGGGTACGGGTACCGGAGCCAGGGATAAGGATGCTGTCACTCCCGGCAACACTGGCCAGCTCCCACCCCTGCCTGAGAATCCACGGATCTCCCAAGGTGGGATTCCCCGCACACCCGGCTGCAACTCCCATGGGATCCAACCGCAGGGGGTCCCACCCATCACAGGGACAGAAAGGACCCCCAGGCGACCCTCTAAAGGCCCACCAAAGATCAGTCTCCATTGTCACGTCCCCACCCAGCGTCTCCACCCAGCAGGGAGCAGAGATCAGCAACACACCGCTGGCACCATGGAGAAGGACACACCCCAGGCGGCTCCAGGCCAGGTGGCAGTGGGCACCCAGCGCCGAGAGGGCGTGGCTCGGCCCCAGCTCCCCCCCCCCGCGCCCCGCCCCTGGCCCCGGCCAGCCCCCAGCCTCGCCCCGAGGCCGGTGGTCAGCGCAGGCGCGCGGGTGCGCCCCGCCACGCTCTGGGGGCCGGCGGCGGCGCCCGCCCGCCGGCCTAGACGACGCGCTGGGGCCTGGCTGCCGCGACGCGCGAGCGTGTGTGCTGTAGCGGGCGTGGGGCGCGCCGAGTGGCGTGCGGGAGGCACGAGGGGACGAGCAGGGGCGCGCCCACCCAAGACCGCCGGTGACCACCTGGTCTCCATTTTATTTCCTCGGAAACCGCCCGGGCAGGTGGGGGGTGGGATGTGGGGGAGTGGCCTCAGGGCGGGGCTCCTCGCGGCAGGGCCTCCTGAGACCGTTAGGCTGGGACACCAGGAGACAGTCCTGGCAGCTCCGGGCCGCCACCCGCGCCGCAATAAAAGCCTCTCGCGGCTTCCCGCCCATCCAGCCTCGCTGTGATTGGTCGCCATGGGAGGGACCCGAGTTGGCTGGAGGCGGCAGCCAGCAAGCTGCTCCCGTGCCGCCCGCCGAGGGGGCGCGCTGGGAGCTCCCCGGCCCGCCCCGTGTACTCCCGCACCGGGGCTTGGCCGTCCGGGACAGGTACCGCGACACCTAGCCACGATGGGCGACACACACGCCCCTCCACCCGGCTTCTCCCCCTCTCCCCGGCGCTCCTCAGCGCACGACCCCCCACCCTCCGCCCAGACTGTCTACCCAACCCACCCAGCTCCTTTGCGGCCCCAGCTCTTTTTCTTCCTCCCCTGCCGTCCATCAGTGCCAAAGCGCAAATCTTTGGGTGGGGTGGGGGAGCAGCTGGAGGGGAGGGCGCGCACGCACAGAATTTTTCCGGGGAGGCCAGGATGGAAATAGCAAAAATGAAATGCAGCTCCCAGGCACTGCCGAGGTGCTCTGGGCGGCGGCACAGCCCCAGCCACCCGCGGCAGCATCACTGTCGTCTCCCTCCCAGCTCCCTATTGTTCGCACTCTGCAAGGATCGGGGACCTCGCCCAGAGAAAGGAGGCTCGGAGAGGTGTTCCGGGCAGCTACCTGCCTTTCTCCCCGCCCCGGCACAGCGCACGGGGGCCAGTGGCGCGGGAGGGCACACGCGCGCACTCGCGCGCACCCCGGCCGCCGATCACGCCCTCCTCGCCCTCCGCCCCTCCGCACTTCCTCCTGTCAAACGCGGCGCTCGACCCTCCCTCCCATCCCCTCCGTGCTCCGGGCCGAGGGCAGGCTTGGCAACTAACCGGCAATCTGGCAAATGAAAAACTAACGTCATGCCGACCAGGGTGCCACCACGGCCACACAGCCCTGCTAGTCTGCCCACTGCGCTCCGTTTTGCAAACCGTTATTCGGCACGGGGTGGGGGAGGGGGGCGAAGGCAGCGAGCCCCCACTTTATGAGACCCCAGGAAATAAGGATCAGGGCGGCTTCCCCGGCCTTTTTGTTCATTCCTCCCGGAGCCGGGCGCTGACAAGCCCCTTCCCCGCGGAATCCAAGCCCGCACGGCTGCACTGCTGGAGCCGTGGCACCCGCCTTCGCCTTGGGAAGCGCTGCCGGGGGCTGACACTCCGGCCGCGGCGTCCCTGGGAGCCGGTCGGCTCACCTAGTGGGCTAGGCAGGCGCTCCGGAGGGGCGCCGGGCGCTCGCGGTGCGGGAAACCAGCCCCGCTCCGGCACTGCCCGGGAGGGCGCAGGGTTCGGCTGGTCAGCAAGGGCGACACGCTGCCTTCCCAGCCCAACGGAAATGCCCAGCCTCACAATCCCTGTAAAACCACCCAAAATAACAGTGTTCCTTGTGGGGAGGAGGAAAGGGAAGGGGGCATTTCACAAATCAGACTGAGAATTTAAAACCAAAAAAAAAAAAAAAATGTACCTGCAGTTCCCAGGAAAAACAAAGTCCAGATGAGATCCTTAGTTTGCAGCATTGTAATCTGCTGGCTGGGAGAGATGTTCTTGCCGCGGTAAATTCTGTGCCCCCCTCGCAGCGAGTGTGGACGGCGGCAGAGCAACAGACCTAGGGGCAGACAATTGCCAGGCTGAGTATGATTATTTTTGCAGAATTGTTTCCTGCCAGCCGCCGCCGAGCTGCGTTCACGCGCTGATCGGAGAATGAGTGACAGTCCCAGCCTCAGCACACTCGCAACTCGGAGATCCTTGCGCTGGCCCGGGCTCGCTTTGATGGAACTGGGGATGGGAGCGAGGGGCGGGGGGCGGGGGTGAGAACCTCACTGTGTCCTTCCACCACGCCGGCCACAAATAGTGCCGAACATCAAGGAGGTAAGAGAGACGGGGAGGCAGATGCGGCCGCCTGCAAAACGCGGCCTGGAGCCGCCGGGGGAGCTGGGCTCTGTCACAGGCAGTCTCCCAGGCAGAGCTGGGATCTCCTCTCTTCGCACTTCTCCCCACACCCCTCCAACGCCTTTGCAGTCCTTCCTGCCATCCAGCCTCCCTGCATCAGGAGAGTGGATATTTTAATAGCCAGCAAATAATAAAAACGGAATCTTCTATGTGGTTAGGGCCTCTAGTCCCTCCATGCAGATCCCAAGGTCCTTGCAATGCGAAGATAATCTAGGGCTTAATTTTTCTTTCAGGCGCAGGAGATGTGAAATTTGGAGAGGGGTGGGGGTTGCTGCTGCTGGATTGTGTTTTGGTATTGTTTTTTTGTTTGTTTGTTTGTTCCTAGCAGTGAAGTTTGCTCTCCCATAGAGAGGCAGGATAACAAATCAGCAGATCCCAGGGGAAAGAGGTGGGACCCAACTAAAGTTAGAAGGAAACGCAGCTGTTAGAAGGAATTTCCAGAAATCAGCTGAGCAAAATGTTTTCTTAGATGTAAATGCGGAAAACTGATCTGTTTATTAAAATCACCGTGCCTTTTGGGTAGGTATGATGACACACGACCGTATTTTCTTGCAAGGGGACACAGCCTTAATTCTTAAAAATATTAAGCTAAAATAATATTAAGGTACCAGTACAAAAGGCTTCGATTAATCTTACAGCTGTGTTTGAGAAAGAAGGGAGTAGGGAGAACGGGTGAAAAGAAAACATGTCCCAGTCCCTGTACCCTCTTAAGGGTACAAGGACTCAGGAGAGTTAAGGTGCTGTGGGAGTGGGGTTAGCCCATAGCCTTGCACAGTGAAACCCTCCACAGAGGGAAGGCTGGCTGCATTCAGAGAAGCAATGCACCGAGGACATCACATACTCCCTTTTTCTTTAAAGGTCAGACTCCCCATCACACTTTTAAAAAGCCCATCCCCTGCTGGCTGACCAGCCACCCTTTGTTACTAGGGAGGCCCATCTCCTCCCTGCCTCTTCCACCGTATTAGATCAAGTGGGCCACACCAGCACGATGTGATTTGGGAGAACCCTGGAAAACACTTCCTCCCCCATCTAAATCTTTCCCAATGTTTACATGGCACTATATGTCTGATATTAATTATAAATTATTCAAAAATACAGAAAAGTAGAGGGAAGCACTAAAAATAATCCCAAATCCCACAGATGTCAGAGATACCTGCAGATTTTCTAAGCCTTCCATATATGCGTGTGAGTTTTATAATTGACGTATTATAGTAGCAATTTGGATCCTGCTGGTTTTTCCCAAATGTTTCATTATCAGATTTCCCCAGGCTGTTAAAAGCCCTTTCTAAATATTTTTATAGCTTTGTACTATTTCTGCATAGGGAGGATTCTCCAATGGTTCCCCCATTGTTGGATACCTAGATTGCTCCCAGAGTTTGATAAAATAAATAATGCTTTTCTGAACGTCTTTCAACAAATATTTGCTGAACAACCATTGTGTTTAACCTGTGCTGGGTGCAGCACACTGCAGTGTACACATTTTTTCTTGATGGTTGCTGTATTTAAGTATCCTTGACTTCAGATATGAGCTGCTGCTAACATATCAAATTGCCACCTGAGACAGTATAAATTTACATGGATGGATGGCTCACATGGTTTCCTGAAGAAGGGCTTTGATAGGGCAGAGAGACGGAGAGATGGGCCAGAGGGAACAGGGAAGGAACGGAAGGTTTTGGCATCCAAAATAAAATTTGTCTAATTTTACCACCAACTGTGCAGGACACACCCTTCCTAGCAATCCTGCCTCATTATAGCCCATGTCAGCGGAATTGAAAGGTCCCTCACTATTTTTCTCCCCAAATATCCCTATTTTTAACTTTTCAATGTAGACAAGTGTAGAAATACTATCTCACTTGAGCATGACTGAGTTTATTTTTTTTCATCTTTCTCTGTCTCTCTCCAGCTCCTCCCTGCCCCGTGTAGCTGTTGATCTCTGTTGTAATGACTCATTCTAGAATTCTGCCCTAGTTACTTCATTCTACACTCCAAGTATCTCTGCCCTGTTCTTTTAACAGGATACATCACTTGTCTCTAGTTTTCAACTCTCAAATTGCCAGTGCCTACCTCTATGAGCTCCACAATGCATTTCAATCCCTCTCTGAATGTCAGTTTAAAATAGGACAAAACAGTGGCCCTCCCCGGACCTCTGCCCCAGAGACAATCCTAGGCTGTCAGGCATACACTAATGAGCAGCCACCCTGTGAACATCTACAGGGCTGACGCAGAGCAAGGAGATACTTCAGCTAGGTTTTCATAGAGGGAGCTTTGCCAGTAGAGCAAAGAGTGGTCTATGAAGATGGCTGCGCCAAGGAGCCAGTTAGGAGGCTGTCGTGCTGTGCTGGACGGTGCAGCAGGTCCTGGTCTCAGGCAGGGCTGGAAAGAAAGGGAGGAAGGAAGACACAGAACTTTCTGAAGATTGACATCGAAGGCAGAGAAATCCAAGCTCCTCTCACTCACTCAAATATTTTTTGAGTGCCTGGCACAGCTGCAGATGCTGGAGAGATAGCAGTGGACAAAAGACAATCTTCACCCTCATGGGCTTCTATTCTTATGGGGAAGACAGATAAACACACCACTGAGCCTCTAGCTTACAGATGGTGATAAGAACTAAGGAGAGGGGCCGGCGCTGTGGTGTAGCAGGTAAAGCTGCCGCCTGCAATGCTGGTATCCCATAAGGGCGCCGGTTCAAGTCCCGGATGCTTCACACCAGGAAGAAGCTCCTGGCTCCTGGCTTCAGATCGGTGCAGCTCTGGCTATTGTGGCTATTTGGGAAGTGAACCAGCAGATGAAAGACCTTGTCTCTCTCTCTCTCTCTCTCTCTCAAACAGATAAATATTTAAAAAAGAAGAAGAGCTAAGGAGAGCAGTACAGAGGAGTAAAAGGATTCAGTAAAAGGATAGGATTCTGGACTGGATCTCTGCTGTGGCCAGGGAAGTGCAGTGGAGGATGACCCAAGTGCTTGGGCCAAGCACGTCATGGGAGACCAGGATAAGCACCTGGCTCCTGCCATCGGATCAGCGAGGTGCGCCAGCCGCAGCGCGCCGGCCGCGGCGGCCATTGGAGGGTGAACCAACGGCAAAAGGAAGACCTTTCTCTCTGTCTTTCTCTGTCCACTCTGCCTGTCAAAAAAAAAAAAAAATTCTGGGCTCTGGGCTGGAGAGGGATTGCCTTTATGTATAGGAGAATTCTATGGGGATATTTGACCAAGATCCAGGGAAAATTATGACTCCAAAGCTTCCAGTGCGGGTATTGGGTAGCTGCCAGTGACACTGGTGGGGAGTAGAAGAGGATGGAAAGGTTCAGACCAGGCAATATGCAAGCAGCAATGATGTCAATTCTGGAAAGACTACGGCTGGGATATCTGTGGGCATGTGCAGTGAACAGGCAGGATCCAGAGAAAATCAATATTTAAGGCATGGACAGAAGGAATTGCAATGACAACTCAAAGAAATTAGAGAGTTTAGAGTGAGAACTGAAATGTGAGAACATCACAAAACAAAGGAGAAGAAAGTTTGGAAGTAGTCAGAAAACATGGATTTAAAAGAGTCTTCTAGATTTGGCAGTTGCAAAGTCCATGTGGTCCTCAAGAGAGCAGCATTCTTGGAGTGATGGGGAGGGAGACACCAGTGTTCTGGCAATGAAAGGGTGGGGAGGAAGGCAGGTGCAGGGATGTGGGTACCTCTTCCCAGTCCTGTGATGATGGAGGAGTGGTATGACTATGACAGACAGAAGGCTGGGCCGGCGCTGTGGCTCACTTGGTTAATCCTCCGGCTGCGGCGCCGGCATCCCATATGGATGCCGGGTTCTAGTCCCGGCTGCTCCTCTTCCAGTCCAGCTCTCTGCTGTGGTCTGAGAAGGCATGGAGGATGGCCCAAGTGCTTGGGCCCTGCACCCACGTGGGAGACCAGGAAGAAGCACCTGGCTCCTGGCTTTGGATCGGTGCAGCATGGCCGTGGAGCCCATTTGTGGGGTACGGAAGGAAGACCTTTCTCTCTCTGCTCTCTCTGTCTATAACTCTACCTGTCAAATAAAAAAAAAAAAGACAGAAGGCAAGCTTCAGGGGAAGGAGGCTTGAAGGTGGATTTTTCCTATCTTCTTTCTTAATATAAAGATTTTATTACTAGGTTATACATTAAGTCAGTTGCTAGCTTCTGCTCACCACGATGACCTCATTCAGTAACTCAACTCAGGCTACTTGGAAACCAAACTGGATCTAGAACTAAGTACTTCCATGTAGGACTTCATTCCTGTTGCTGTGGAGAAGGGGGAACCCAGATTTGATCGGAGGACTCACGGCTGCCTTAGCAACTTTAATTCACTCTTGACAGGTACACACTGAATTCTGGAAAACATAACAGCTTAAGACTCACACAAGAGACGGTGACCTGGGGCTAGGAGCGGCTGGGGAATATGCTGGTCCAACAGGCTGAGCCTGATCCAGAAAGTGTTAGGACCTGGAGGTAAAACTGAGCCCAGCGCACTGAAGAGTGAAGGGAGACCTCTGAGCTCGCTCTCAGCTTCTCATAGTCCAGAACCGGCTGACACCAGCCGTTCCATCTAAGCTCTGCTTGGTGGTGGGGCTGAGCCAACTGACATGCTTGCCGTCTCTGTTTCAGGTTGGCTTGGGACATTCACCAGTCGGTCCAGCTGTGTGGCCCTGGGGACTCCCAAAAGCAGGGGGAGTAAGACAGGCATCCACAGAAAGCCCCTGCTTCTCTGTGCAGGTTGTGCACTGCACAACTTCAAGGGGGCCTTTCAAATCCCACTCATCACATATTTATGTGGTTGTCATGACAATTTTTCTGGCATTGACAGAAGCCAAGCATGGAAGAAGGGGTGCTATTTTCTTCAGCTTTTCTGTTTTTAAACTGTGCACAAGGC